TATGTTAATGTACAAGGCACTTAAGTTGAAAACCATTCCATAACAAGTTATTAAAGGTTATATTTTTTTTTGACATCGGTTTCCCATTGATCCCAGTGGTATTTCAATTGTGCAAATATATGTGTGTTATTTCTATGTGATAATTGGTATGATTTGTGTTAGTACTTTAACTGAGGGTGTGTTTTTAGATTTCCAATATCTAGGTAGGCATGTTGTTGCAGCTATCAGAATGTGGCCTGCTATAATTCTATCCATTTTACTGATGGATTCAGGGAATTTTTTAAATAGAGCCAGTTCAGATGTGAAGCTACCTACCGTATATACTCGAGTATAAGCCGAGTTTTTCAGCACATTTTTTGTGCTGAAAAACCCCAACTCGGCTTATACTCGAGTCAGTGTCTGTATTATGGCAACTTACATTAATTTACATTGCCATAATACAGACTGGGGGCAGGCAGAGCTGTTACTTACCTCTCCTGCAGCTCCTGCCAGCTCCCTCCTCCTCCGCGCCGGTCCGGTCAGCACCTCGGTCAGCTCCCAGTGTAAGTCTCGCGAGAGCCGCGGGGTCATAGTGCGGCTCTCGCGAGACTTACAGTGTGAGCTGACAGAAGAGCTGCACGGACAGGCGCGGAGGAGGAGAGAGCTGACAGGAGCTGCAGGAGAGGTAAGTAACAGCTCTGCCAGCCCCCCTCCTCCCCCCACTGAACTGCCAATGCCACTGGACCACCAGGGAAGGAGAGCCCCCCTCCCTGCCATGTATCAAGCAGGGAGGGGGGACGAAAAATAAATAAATTAATAATATATAAATAATAATAATAATAATAAAAAAAATAATATAACAAAAAAATTTAAATAATATTAATTAATAATATATAAATAATAATAATAATAAAAAAATAATATAACAAAAAAAATTTAAATAATATATATATATTTTTTTTTTATAAAAATGCCCACCCCCCCACCAAGGCTCTGCCACACAAGCACACACTGCACTCATACACACACACTGCACTCATACACACACTCTGCATTCATACACACACTCTGCATTCATACACACACACTGCATTCATACACACACACTGCATTCATACACACACTGCATTCATACACACACTGCATTCATACACACACACTGCACACTCATACACAAACACTGCATTCATACACACACACTGCATTCATACACACACACACTGCACTCACACACACTGCATTCATACACACACTGCATTCATACACACACACTGCATTCATACACACACACTGCATTCATCATATACACACACTGTAAATAAATATTCAATTAATATAATTTTTTTAGGATCTAATTTTATTTAGAAATTTACCAGTAGCTGCTGCATTTCCCACCCTAGTCTTATACTCGAGTCAATACGTTTTCCCAGTTTTTTGGGGTAAAATTAGGGGCCTCGGCTTATATTCGGGTCGGTTTATACTCGAGTATATACGGTATGTTACTGTTCACCTTAATAATTAAGTCATGTATCATTTTCCAATATCTATGTCAGTCTTGGGCAAAAGCACTATATGTGGGCCTTGTTGCCCAGTCCTCCGCAACCTCTCCAATACCTATCGCTGTACTTATTATTCATATTATGCAATTTAGATGGGGCCAGATACCATCAATACAGAATTTTTAAGTGATTTTCGTGATGGTTGGAGCAGAAAGATAGGCCCTTCAGAGCTGAAAAAAAAAAACTGAACCAATCCTCCAACTTATATTGGGAACCCAGCCCTGTCTCCCAGGATAACATATGCTTTAGTTTAATTGATGGTTTATCGTTATGTAACATATAACAGATAGATATAATGCCCTTCCTATTCGGGCCATGCAAAAATAGCTTTTCTAGTTGTGATATTTCTAGTGCTTTATAATTTGTGTCGGTTTCCAGTATGTTGTATATTTCTTTTAATTTCTCAATCACCAACTCACATTCATCCTTACATTCGGTCGCCAGTCAATGCTTAAATAGACAGAATAGAGTTTCTATGGAAAAAGTCGTCTATATGATACAGTCGGTGTTCTTTAAGTAATGATGAGTTTAAGGTCGGGATGTAGTATTTTAAAGATTCAATTGGCATGGCTCTATATAGTTTTGTCAAGTGACAGTTGTTTTTAAATACAATATCCCAGGCCTTAAGTGTGGTCTTAGTGGTCATAAACATTTTAGTTACTCCGGGTCTCCTTACAGGGCTTAGCCAGGGTAATTCCCCGAGTTGAAAGGGGAGAATGCTGGATTCCTCCATTTCCATCCATCTCGGCCTATTTTTTTGACTATTAAAGCTTACAACCGCTGCAGCGTTAGTTGCAAAGTAGTACTTTCTGAAATTAGGGACACCAATGCCCCCCATGAAGTTTTTGGTGCTGCAGGGATGTAAGCTTAATTCTGCTGGGTTTTTACTTCCAAATAAATGTTAGCATTATTGAATGTACTTTGTTAAAGAAGGACATTGGAATAGAGAAGGGAATAGTTCTAAAATAGTACAAGATTTTTGGGAGGATTGACATTTTTATGGAGGCAATTCCACGTAACCATGATAACTCCATACCACTCCATCTCTCCATCTCCTTGTGTAGGTCCGGCCATGCTCTCTTCAAGTTATGAATATACATATTGGGTAAATGTTTGCATAAATTAATTCCTAAATATTCAAGGTAATCCCTCCTCCAGTCGAATTGATATGATAGTCTTAATTCATCCATATCAGATTTATGCAAGTGGAAAGGTAGGGCCTGGGTCTTGGATACATTTAATTTATAATAAGACACTTCTCCAAACTGGAGTAGAATAGTATTGAGAGATTTCAGAGAGTCTTTTGGGTTTTTGAGTGCTAGAATGATGTAATCTGCAAATAACTATTTTATGAGTGGATCCCTTAATATTAATACCTGCGATTTCTGGGGTCGTCCTAATCAATTCGGCCAAGGGTTCCATCGCCAGGACAAAGAGAATTGAAGATAAGGGGCAGCCTTGACGCGTCCCATTAGTTAGAGAAAACGTTCTGGATTGGAAACCCGAGGCCCATACATGAGTTGTGGGTGCACTCTATAGTGTCTTTATCACAGTAATAAAAGATTGTGGAATATCAAATCTGCTCAATGTCTTCCATAGATATCACCAATGTACCCTGTCGAACGCCTTCTCTGCATCCAATGAAAGGAGCAGAGAAGGAGTTCTTGTTGAATTGATATGCTGAATTAAGTTAATGAACCGTCTCGTTCCATCAGGTGCTTGTCTACCTTTCACAAATCCTACCTGGTCATTATCAATCAATAAAAGGTATTAGATTAGTTAATCGATTCGCTAGTATCTTAGAATACATTTTTGTGTCATTATTAATAAGGGATATGGGCCTAAAATTAGAGCATCTGTTGGGAGTTTTGCCCGGTTTTGGCAAGGTGACAATCTGTGCGGACAAAGGCTCTCCTGGCATTTTCCCCCGGACTTATAGGAGTTGAATAATTTGGACATATGAGGAATTAAAGTTTCTGCAGAGGTCTTATAGTATAAAATGGGAATCCATCAGGACCAGGGGCTTTTCCAGATAGCATGATCTTAATAGCCTCGGCCAGTGGCGTACATACCAGGGTCTCAGGGGTCGCGGCTGCGACCGGGCTCGGCCCGAGGGGGCCCGGCCGCCCCTGCGACCTGGTATGTACCCACATGGCCAGCCTCTTCTCCTGGGGGGCCCAGGACCCGACCACCCCAGGGCCCCCCGAGGCTGGCCCTGCTGACACCCGGAAGGCGGGTGGCCGGTCGGGCAGGCAGGCGCGCGAGGGAGCACTCAGTGCTTCCTCTTCAGCTCCCTCGCGCACCGCACTGATACCGGAGCCGGAAGATGACGTCATCTTCTGGCGCCGGCATCCCTACGCGGCGCGCGAGGGAGCTGAAGAGGAAGCACTGAGTGCTCCCTCGCGCGCCCGCCTGCCCGACTGGCCACCTGCCCTGGAGCCCAGCAGCACCACTGGACCCCAGGGAATCCCCCCAGCACTCCAAAAGGTAAGGAGGCTGGGGGGGATTACATTTAAAAAAAAAAAACATGTGTTAGTGTGTGTCTGCTAGTGAGTGTTAGAGTGAGTTAGTGT